AATTACAATATTACATCAGATAACCGATTTTTACACATTTGATTTCATTAAGTTAGTCTGTGAAATCACAATGTGGTATAATGTATATTGGTATACGTAGAGGTTAGGTTAGGTTTTCGTGAACTGTTTGACTTATGCTTACCTAGCTTTGTGATTTCCTTTTTATTTCAATAATCGATATTAGTTCAATAACCTGAGATAAACGTTTGTTAATTATTATTAATATTGAATATTTTACTTTATGTTACCTACCTATATAAATAATAAAACAATTAAAAATGCACCTAGGTCTTGTTTATGCTATACCGAATGGTTTTGATGACATTCAACACTTAAAGAGAATTCCATTAGTTTTGTATTTAATTCAATGGTTTTAAGTTGCCCTTTGATTTGGTTTTTTGTTTAAATTATTATTATGCTATTGAGAAAGTTCAGTTTAAGTTTTTTGAGCATACTTATTATCTGTCTACTTATACTATGTAGAACTTTAGCTGATATTCACTAATAATTCCAACTTTATGTTCTAACTTCTTTCAATTGTTCATACTTTTAACGTCTTCTGAAACTAGTTTGTTATTTATTGTTCTTTTTATTTTACTTAAATGCATTTACTTCGTGTCAGCGTTTATGATGATAAACCTCTAACACCTTTCGGAAAACATATATTTGAAGGAATTTATTTAGAATTAAATGGCAAGTAAAAAAATATAATAATTTAAAGTTTGTACACTGTAATATATTTTTATTATAACACATGTTTCTTCATTTTGAACAACTTATTTTTTTTATATTTTAATCATGAACAAAACTCTACCTCAGCTATAAATTATATTCCAAATATGAAATACTAGGTAAGTTTTTAATAATATTGATAAATTCCAGTAAATTACTAAAATGTGTTTGTCTTCTCACATTTTAAATTTTTTGAATAAAATGATTGATATACATTAAAATAGTTGGATAAAACCAATTTAATTTGAGTCTATTATTTTTGCACGACAGTCATATTTATTCAAAAGAACCAAAAATAAATATACATATTTGTTGACATTTTATATGACTTGTTTATGCAACTTTAAATGACCAATATATTTTATGAAAAAATCCAACTAGTGACAAGTACTTTGCAGTCAAAGTGACTGTGTTTAACCTTTTGGACCTATAATTCAAGCCAGATTTGACTTCACTTGACTGTATTTTTTTTTTTATTTTTTTTTTATATTTTAAAACAAATATATTGAAAAATTATAAATATTATAACATAGGAATAAGTATTTAATATGTCAAGTCACATAGTTAAGAATTACTAGCCATTTTTAATTACCTACCGACTAACCATAATATGAATAACTAATATTCATATCATTATATTATATTATATTCTTCTAAACACTAATGTACCTATTTTGCCTATACGGTACGCCGTCCAACTAATATATCAAGTTTAGTCTCGGATTCGCTGATTTCCGAGTAAAATAAAAATATATATTATCGATTTAATAATTATACAAAAACAATGTAAAATTATTTATTTATGTTAATATTAACTTCTTCATAAAAAAAAATATATATAGTCACCGTATTATTTAAGTAATATATTTATACTAGGTTGCATAAACCATTTATTAAATTTAATGGTTCACTAAAAATGTAATGGACCAATCGTGGGCCACTAAATCTTGTTTAAGGGACCATTAGCTCACTATTGATTCATTAAATGTTTTGCGAGACCCACCATTAATATATTTAAATATCACTACAACGTGAAATTTACACGTCTTAACCGGGTTAGTAATAATTGTTTGTTTCTAAGATTATTTTCTAAATTCCGAATCACTGAATCTGGACTTATTAAAATTGAGTATATACATATTCACTATAATATTATGTTCTCAATTTTTCGTATTATTTTCTGATAGCTTATTGAATGCACACCACCTGTCGAATAATAATATTAAATATTTTTTTTTTTTTTTTTTAATGGCAATGCGTTTTTTCGATACTGAAGACTAAATTAATACAATTTTAAAATTCAAATATGGGTATTTAAATGATTATACTTATTCGTGAGATATAAATAAAAATGCAGATGAATTAATTATTTTAAGAAATATAGAAGTAATAGAAGTTTTCCCGATAATTCTTCTGATAGTCCGTCTGTTGTAATATCTAAAACATAAATGGAAACAAATACGAGTACAAATTTTCTCAAACTAACTTTCACATGAAAACATAAACTAAAAATGGTAGTGTATGATTTTTAGATGGTAAAGCATCAAATTCAATGTCACATACAATGAAACTTGGATTAAGATTGTTTATAAGATTTTGACTTTTTATTTGGAATTAATGCATACATTTATGGGTAGGCTCCACCTAAACTTTCAGCTAGTATAAGGTATAAAGATAGGTGAAAATTGCAGTGGGAGCTTATCCTCCCTAAATATATCATTAACACCTCACCACCAAAAAAATATATGGTTTTTTATTTATGTGGGATCGAGCCCCACACTCCCATTTTATGTTAAAAATGTTAGCCCCGAAAAATTTTAATAGATTAATATAACAAATAATAAAGAAGATTTAAAAGTACCATCCATGTACCATAAGAAACCAATTGGAGTTCATTAAAATGTCAAGATAAATTGAAGAACTCCCTAAAAAAAGTAAATTATAAATTATAAAAATTAGGAGTACAGACTTACGACCATCAGTATTTACTGTTAAATGTTTAAAACTACCTATCATAATTTATTGTTTTTTAATACAAAAATTATTAGGTTATACATACTTACAAACAATGATTATCTAATTTTGTAAGATAAAATAACAATCAAACATTACCTACTTCGTATATGTAAATTAATTGTTATTAATTAGGTATATAAGCCATTATCATTAACTGTATTATTAATCCGAATCGATGTATCGCTGAAGTGTCCCATTTCCCTTATATCTAGTATAGATTCAGATTTGATGTTCAGACAAGTGCATTAATATAGTATTATTCTTTCAATACATTTTTGTTTAAGATACAAAAATAAAAACATTTTTAAGCTGATAAAGTAAATATTGGATACAATAAATGGCTTAATTAATTAACTGTTTAATAATCAGATTTACTGAACTTTGGGCAGTTGTAGTTTTTCAAGAAATGAATCGAAATCGACCACCATCATATTTTAAAAACAAAAACAACCAATACCAATATTTACTATTTATTTATTAAAATCGTGATTAATATTGGAAAAGAAAGAGTTTATAATGTAATTTTTGAAAACTGGGGAAATGTGGACAAATCTTAAATGAAAAAAACACGAGTCATAAGTAAAAAGAACCGCATTTTTTGTTTTTTTCTTTTTATTTTGGTCATTGAAATTCAAATTGTGCCCAGTCATTTTTTTTTTTAAATACCAAGACGTCTAAGTATAACATTCCATTTTAAAATATTTGTCAGTCTTGGATTTTTCATTATTTGATAGAACAATAACTTATATAATAAAATCAATAAAAATCAACAATGGTATGATAATAAATTACGGTACGTTATTAAAATCAGTTGGTCTTAAACACAGACGATTGAATTTATGATAGATATTTACGACCTGTTGTGTAGGTGGTTTATTGTGTAAATACCGTATAGATAATATCCACGTCGAATTAATCAATTTTGATACAATATAATATAGTTTATGAACATTGCACTATTAAGTGTGTGTTGGTTTAATTATTGCACTATCGTCCCATATTACACCGACAAGTCTTAACACGGTAAGGAATTTCAATATATCCATATGAGTACAATATGAGCATAATATAACGAATAAAAAAAATTGCGTTAGGTTCACTGGAAGTCTCTTATTGCTGTATTTCTAATATACATTTGTCCAACTGCATTCTTTTATACATTTGTATCTCCTACCTTTACGTATATTGTAAGATAATATTATTGTTATTATTCGCATGGATCGTTATTGAATAGTTTATATTTTCTTTGCATGTGGAAACGCATATAATAATACAAAACAAATAATATTATATTACATGGTACATGTTTGTGCCTCGTGCACAACATTATACGGTCGTAGACATCAATTGTATATAAATGGCTACGTTTTTTAAGTTAGTTTTTATCATAATAATAATAATAATAATAATGTGCATATAGAACAGCAAGCGCACTGCAGTAGATAATATTATAATATTATACGTAGTGATTTATTGATTTATATGCATATAATATTATATGTATATATATAATTTATATTATTGAACTTATATTTATAAAAGTATCCATTGTTCGAAAAGGTTTTTTTTTATTAGTAATCTATCATAATATTATTATTGTCATCATAGCATTAATAATTAAAGATATAGTTCACAGTTACATTACGTAGATAGAAAATATTTTTTAAGAATGTGTTGTACATACAATATAGTTAAGCTTGATAAATTAAATTTAGCTTAATTATGATATATCATTTAAATATATTCTGCTTATTATGTTGTGTGTTTTAATTTAATTAAAACTTAAAGTTAATTAAGAAAAAAAAGAATTATTTACGTTAGTTTATGGGCAGTTGGTACACAAAATGTACAATTTTCGAAATTCCATTAATTCTTAATGAATTTGTAGTATTACTTAATTAGTCAAGTACAATAAGTTATTCATACGATTGTATCAATAACCATACAAATACATGTATAATAGCATTTGTTTTTAATTTATTATATTTAATATGTAGTCTTCCATCTTCTTAAGTTTTATCAAATACTAAAAGTATGCTATTTTTATCTCATCTAATACTCAACTTGTTATTATCACAAAAAAAATTTGAAAACTCACTGGAAATCTCATAGACCTTATACTAAAGTTAGTAAGGTAAGTATAAGGTCTATGGGACATATCTACCTTTGTTACAAGTTTTCATCAATGATGATTTTTCTAAGAATTGCTTTGATCGAAAATAAGATAAATTAATATGAATTATATGTTACAGTTTGTAAGATCGACCGCAGGCCCAGGCGATAACGAAGATAAGGTTTAGAGACAAGATATGTGGTCATAAAACGTCATTTTTCAACGGAATATTAATACATTTTTTTTTTTAAAAACTTATACATTAAAAGTACATAATATAATAAATGATATGTGTGTACAAATTTGGCACTTGTGCAGCTTCCATTCACAACACAATAATTAACTTATATGAGTTTGTATTTAATGTTATAAATTTATAATTATGATTCTTTCTAAAAAAAAAAAAAAAATGTTTTATTATTATTCATAATAAAACTATTATGTACAGTTATTGTTAAATATTGTATTTGTGTAGATTATAAAAGCGTATAAACAGTTACCCTAATACGTACTTAATTAAAGCTCTATAAATATTATGTAAATTATACCTATTTATTAAAGCGAATTAACAATATAAGTATGTTTTGTTCAAACGACTTGAGTTATTTAATACTTTTATTCATAGAAACCATTATCATCACGCCTAATATTAAATTTAATATTAATACCCATATTATAAAACTTTGCCAATTATTATTACAGTCATTAATCTGAATAAATATTTATATAATGTTTTTAAATGTTATTTTTCAAGTATTTGTATTTTGTATATTAAAAACTGTACTCGATTCAATCGAAAAGTAACATATAAATAAACTGTTGTAAAATGATAAATGTTTAACATAAAATAAAATTGGTCCGTGATGTTGAAGGTAACGGTAAATTACAATTATTGAATCAGTGTTAAGTTGTTATACTATAAACATTAAAGTTGATTTATTTTAACATAATGTTACGTTAAAAAGTTTCTATTTCATGCTAATTGTAAAATATATGCACTCTGGAACGTATTCCACCCAACGGCAGGTCGCAGGTATGTATAAATAAAGACACTTTAAACCTGAATAATTATTAATACATTTTCACTTTTCGCTTGGGTACCGTGCATAAAATATAAACAATATAAACAAATATAATTTATGAACCAATTATCAGGTATGTGAAAATAATTAAAATTCAGTACTTTAATAAGATCCCTGAAAATTACATCGGCAGTATAATTTAAAAACGTATTTCAATTGAATTTAACTAAAACAAAGAACACACTAGAAGGCAAAGTAGGTACATTATTAATCAAACTAAAGCTTTCAATTTAAATTTGTTTTACTCAAGCCATTATGTATGCATTCTACTCATGATAAATAGTTTTTTTTTTTTTAAATAAAAAAATTATTTTGACCAATGCCTATTTTATTTCATTTAAAAATGTATTATAATGTTAGGAGTCGTGTTGTGTCGTGTAATTTAATTTTTGTTTTTAATAATATGTGTTATAAAATGATTAGGATTCTAACACTAATAATAATCAACGAATTCGGATTGGTAAAAATATCAAGTGGACTGTATTATAATAGTACATCACACAACATCACAGACATGGATAATATTTACACATAATAATAATAATAATAATTACATATGAAAATAGGGATGTAGGCGCCCACCTACTATATAATATAATAATGCCTAATCGCTCGTCAACCGAGAATAATAATTAATGAATAATTTGCCTTGACCTTGTTAATGGGTATTATGCCATTTAAAACTTCAAAATGGTGTGACAAAAGTTTGGCAAGAAGTAGAGCCGCGCACAATTCCAGCCTAGGAATTGTCAACGAAGTATCCGTTTGTGAAGATTTTAACGGTGCTATCTTGGTTTTACACGTGATAAAATAAGCATGGAAGTGACCCAAAATGTCAGCTATCCGTAAGAAAACTATGGCTGCATATCCACATTGGGATGCATCGGCAAAACCCACCATCTGCACTTCCTTTACTTGATGGATATTGATGTGACGAGGTAAAGATACGTGTGACAACAACGGTAACTCGTCCAGGAACTGACGCCACTTGTTCACCAACGAAGTAGGTAACGGAGAATCCCATCCAATCTTCTCGAGCCATAGCTCTTGCATAAATCTTTTAGCCCATAGCAAAACCGGACCTAAGGCACCAATTGGATCGTACAACCGTGCGATCGTAGATAACACAACCCTCTTGGTAATCGATCCCTCGCTGGTAGCTCCGTGATATCCAAAGGTATCGGTGGTAGGATCCCAATGTACTCCTAGCACCTTCAAAGTCACATCTTCAGTTGGGGTGAACGTTGGTTCTACAGCCTGGTCCTCGACCGGTATGCACCTCAGCACGGCATCGCAGTTACTTGCCCACTTTTTCAATTCAAGTTGACCTCGCAGTAATAAATTAATAAGATCTTTCTGTACGGCCAATAGGTCATCTACGGTATCGGCACCAGCGATTATGTCATCAACATAAGTATTATTAGTTAACAGACCCTTCGCCTGGGGAAATTTCGCACCATCTTCAAAGTCCAATTGACGCAGGCATCGCAGTGCAAGATATGGCGCTGAGTTTACACCATAAGTGACGGTTCGCAATTGATACTCCTGTACCTCATCCTCCGGCGACCTACGCCACAGGATATGTTGATAGACACAATCCTCATCGCGTACTCTGATCTGTCGATACATTTTCGCGATATCAGCTACGAACACGTACTTGTAGAATCTGCTACGAAGTAGAACATCGCTAATTTCAGTCTGTAATTTAGGCCCCGTACATAGACAATCGTTCAATGATTTTCCCGATGTAGACTTCGCCGAGGCGTCGAAGACAACTCGAATCTTAAGTCCCTTTCCCTCATGCTTAACCACAGCATGGTGTGGTATAAAATATTTTCCTGGCACCGATGCCAGTTTCATATGACCTAAATTTAAATAGTCATCCATAAACTTACGATATGCTGTATACAGTTCCGAATCTTTTGCCAAACGTCGCTCGAGATTGTACAGACGATTCAATGCTAAAGCGCGCGAGGAACCTAAATCTTCCGGGCTCCCGCCTTGAACTACCGCCGTCTGACTCGTTGACATCTCTGTTAGAGCGCGCACCGTCGACTGAAACGGTAATGATACTACAAACCGTCCGGATGCGTCTCTAATAGTTGATTTCCGGAACCATGCCTCACATTGCTCATCTTCCGTTGACAAAATGTTCGACACATCTGGTTCTTCCACAGACCAAAATTTTTGTATTAATCTTCCGATTTCTGGCGTCGATACTGCTGATAATGATACCATGGGCGACGTTGAAGTTCCATTTAATGCTCCTACCACAATCCATCCAAGATGAGTATTCATAGCTGACGGCAGACCCGTACTGTGAATAACATCGGCCTTTGATTGTAACAAATGTGGATACAAGTCGCTTCCTAACAACATATCGATCGGTCCGGGTACATCGAACTCCGGATCAGCCAGCAACAGGTGGTGATACCGCTCACGCACCGCCGAAGGTATTCTATCGCTAGGTAACTGCATGGTGATGTGCGTCAAAATGACGACGCTAGTAGCACAAAACTGCGGACCTTCCCCGTGAAGCGGAATAAATTGGCATTGAGTGACACCTTTTACTTTAGTTACTCGTTGTTGAGAGAGTCCTGTCACCTCTATTCTGCTCTTCATATGCCTTAAACCAAGACGAGTGGCACATTGTGAAGTGATCGCCGAAATTTGGGAGCCACTGTCTAAAAGAACGCGTACCGTTTGTAATTTTCCCACGTTGTCCCGCATGCGCACAATAGCTGTACCTAAAATAACAGTGGCTTCAGTACGCGCAGTGCCCGAGAACATGACTTGATTTTCAGTCGCAGTTGTCTTTTTTTCCACCGACTCCGCTCCCTCTGTCGAACATTCGGCGTCTCCGTGTGATACTGACAACGTTGGCTTCGCGTAGTCTATATGTAATAATGTGCTATGTTTGCCACCACAACTCCGGCACTTAAAACCTGACGTACACGATTTCGCTGCGTGTCCTGACTTTAAGCATATGAAGCACACACTGTTACCGCTGACAAACTTCCTTCTTGCCGCGACCGATTTTTGTTTAAATGCTCCACAACGATAAAGTGGGTGATCTTGTTCACAAAATATGCACTTTACACCGCTCGAAGTCGTAGCTAGTGAATATTTCCCGGGTGCCCCACTCTTGCCTTTCTTAGCCACAACCTTGAAATTTTGTTCTACTTTATCCGCAGTAGTCCCGATGTTTTCTAATATTTTACACCGTCGAGAAACAAAATCCAACAAGCTATCCAATGACGGCATTTCCGTCTGTGGTATACTGGCTTCGTATAGCCTTCTAGTTTCAACGTCAAGCACCCGCGCGCCAATGTAAAATAATAGAAATCCCGAAATATCATCGATACCTAATGCCTTGATAGCGGCGACGTTCTCGCGGAACGTATTGACAAACGTAGCGAGTGCCGCCGTGGACTCCTTCTTGAGAGGCGAGAACGCGAATAATTTATCAATGTGCGCCGTCGCTAATAGTCGATTATTTTCGAACGATCTTTGAAGAGCATTCCACGCGATATTGTAATTATTGGCCGTTAACGGAATGGACTTGATCACTGCTAACGCAGGACCTGATACGCATGATTTTAAAAAATGAAATCGCTCAATGTCCGAAATTGACTGATTGTCATGCACAAGTGAACAAAACATATCGCGAAATGAACACCATTGGACTACGTCCCCATCAAATTTTGGCAACTCAATTTTGGGCAATGCTATAGCTGTACCCGCAGGAGCCCCACATACCGGACGCGGCATCTGATTTGTTACACTCGTCGTCGGTCGAATTGTTTCAAAAATCATTCGTATACGTCCGATTAATTCCTCGACCTCGTCCGTAATTAACAAATCTGTGTCATTGAAGTCGTGCTGTAATCTCGAATCCAACATAATATTCAACACTTCTTGTTGCTGTACCTCGAATTGATCGACGTATTTGTCGAGTGATAAATAACGTGCCATAAACGAAGAATGTTTTTCAACCTCCGTTCGCGCCTCTTGTGCCAACGTATTTAAAATTCGAATTTTTCGTACCGTCATATCACGAGCAGCACGCGAACGTAATAACATGTTCGGCTCCGAAGTTACCGAAACTGATTTGCGTTTTGGACGAACCATAATAAAAGTATAGGATTTCGGGAATAATCTAAATGATAATAATAATCTAACAACACATACCTACCTACGTGTTATATAATTACAATAATAATACCTACGTAGAATAATATTAAATATTAGTATTTAGAAATATAAGATTTACTAATTCGATCCGGCTCGAAGGACCAAAATGTTGTGTCGTGTAATTTAATTTTTGTTTTTAATAATATGTGTTATAAAATGATTAGGATTCTAACACTAATAATAATCAACGAATTCGGATTGGTAAAAATATCAAGTGGACTGTATTATAATAGTACATCATACAACATCACAGACATGGATAATATTTACACATAATAATAATAATAATAATTACATATGAAAATAGGGATGTAGGCGCCCACCTACTATATAATATAATAATGCCTAATCGCTCGTCAACCGAGAATAATAATTAATGAATAATGCTAATACCGTAAAATTATAATAACACAATAAATGCCACAGAGGCTATAATACAAAATGATGATATAATATCAATCAAAACAAATATAAATAATGATACAAGTGATAATGTGATAATACAATAAATAAACCGCGTATCAGTTATGATATCGCGTTACCGGTTGTTGAATGTTGGTTACTGCCGACCGCTCGACTGTTCACACTCCATAAGATGTCCATATAACTGAATACGTGCAGGTATACTGTATATGTTTATATACATACACACAATGAAAACCGTACCGACGTCTGCTTACCCCACTCAGGTCCCGCGACCCATACGCTGATGGCTGCCCGAATGTCCGACGTACTTTGGTAGGTTAACGATGGAATCGTGCCCGCGCACGATCACCACTGACCCGTTCGTTGAGCTTTACGTGCACCCGCGTGCACTTTAAAGACCGAACAGTTAATAATAACACACACCGGAGGACTGCTCGTTGCAACTACGGACCCAAAACCACATGCCGCTAACAACCGATTCGAACATAACGAATATTATATTTTTATTAAACGGCAACATAATATACCGCGGCAACAACGAACAACAATATTATAATGGCCGACGCAATTCGCGTCGTACGACGAAACTTGAGATAGCTCGCGAACTGTCCAGTGCGATACGATGCACACTACTAGTTACTACTCGCCGAGGCGGTGGTCTTTATTGCCGGCGGCGAGAGCTGGTTTATCATGGTACGGTGGCGGGGGGTGGGGTTCTCTTCTAGAACATTCTGTGCCTTATCGGCGGAAACCCATCACAACAATAAATATTGTCGCCGCCAGAGTCGGTACCGAACAAGTCGAGTTGTTTTAAAATAACATTGAAACATACTGCTATAGCTTTATTACCACTGCTTAAGTTTTTACTTACGTGTCTAAACATGAGTACATGGTAATTCATGTATTTATTTTTATTGTAGTGCGAGGTTTAATCAAAAAATACCCGAACTGTGTTAATAATATTTATATCAATTAAGATAACGAAACCCCGATAATGTCATTCGATAAAGTAACTTCAAACGAGGATTTGAGCATTGGTTTAAATCGATAACAATACTTATTTTTATTTTATGGCATTTCTACGAAAACATGTTTCGTCCTGTGGCGAATTTTGTAATGGAAGGAATAGAAGAACAACGTGTGTGCGTGAAATTTTGTTTTAAATTAGGGAAAAGTTCTAGTGAAACTTTTGAACTTTTGCAGCAAGCTTTTGGAGATGATGTCCTGCCTCGAACAACATGTTTTGAGTGGTTTAAACGGTTTAAGGAAGGTAGAACATCCGTTAAGGATAACGAACAACCTGGTAGACCTTCGACCAGTAAAACGAATAAAACTGTTGCTCGTGTTCGTGAAATTATTCGAAATAACCGTCGATTAACTTCAAGAGAAATTGCAGAAGACGTCGGAATATCTTATGATTCGTGCTAAGAAATATTAACCAAAGAATTGGGCATGAGCCGAATCGCATCCAAATAGCTCATCGTGAATGGATGCCTCAAGGACAAACAGTAAATCAGCATTTTTATTTAGAAGTCATGAAAATATTACGTGAAAATGTTAGGAAAAAAGGCCAGAAAGTTGGAAATGTGGTTCTTGGATGTTGCATCACGATAACGCCCCGGCTCACAGCTCTTTGCTCATTCGTCAGTTCTTAGCGAAAAATCAAACTCCAGTAGTTCCACAACCACCATACTCACTCGACCTAGCTCCGTGTGACTTTTTTTTATTTCCGAAGTTAAAATCTACGTTCAAAGGACGTCATTTTCAAACAATTGATGACATTAAACAAACTACCAAAATCGATCGATCGACCGACATTCCAATAAGTGCCTACCAGGAATGTTTTAAAAAGTGGAAAAGAAGATGGCAGCGGTGTATTGCTTCCCAGGGAGATTATTTTGAAGGTGATAATGTGCATTTAGAATAATATTGTAAATATTAACAATAATACAATAATATTGTAATCCGGATATTTTTTGTTAAATTAGCGTAAGTATAGATATTTATATTTAAATGTACCTACGTAATACTATGATGCATTAAGCACGAATAGTGATTTTAATGATTTTATATTTAATATTTTAAGACGATAATCAGCAATAGGCATGTATTATCATAATTCCCATAATTTTCAATATAAACTAATACGACGGAGGCTTAAAAAAACTGCGTTTAATTGCAACAAATCCGAATTTAAACATACATTTATGCATATGATGATAATTATATTGTTGGAATTATAAACAAAACACCCTATATAATGTAGTGTATAAGTAATATATTCACACTGTAGTTCAGCAGACGCTGACTGTACATTTTTATAATACTACAGCATAAATGTCTTGTGTAGTGTAGCCGGGTATACATATTACATAGTTAGTCGTTGATTTATATTACGCCTCGTAACACTATTGTACATCGTATCATTATACTTATTATTATATTATATATATATCCGATTTTATTATTATTTACCTTTAACTTCTGTATATCTGTGTACTTCAACAGGTTATGGGCCCAGTAGTAAGGTCTTTATAATAAAGTTGTGAATAGTTATTAAAATAATAATTGATTAACGAATTGCGTGTTTTTTGTGTACAGACAGTGTACATCAATAATAATTCGCGAAGTAAGTGCAGTGTAGTGTGAGTGCGTTTCTTAGTGTGCAGATAGTGTACATTTACGTTTTTTAAATATGGAGAACGAACAATATAAAATCAACAAACTCAAAGATGCATCAAATTGGGACATGTGGAAATTTCAAATGAAGGTTAACATGAATGCAGCTGAAATATTTGATGTAGTAACAGGAAAATCAAAGAAACCAATTTTAGCAAAGATCGGTAATGAAACTGAAGATGAAGCGAGAAAAAGGCATAGCGTTGATTTTTCAATATGGAAAAGGGCAGATAATAAGGCTCAAAAATATATCGTCACGTCGTTAGATGAACAACCTCTACAATACATTATGAACTGTGACACAGCAAATGGTATGTGGAACAAATTACTTAGTGTGTACGAACAGATGTCGGACACAAGCATAACAATAGTACAACAAAAGTTCTATCGTTATACAATGGATCCAAAAGACAATATAGCAGGTCATATTTCAAAATTAGAAAATCTAAGTAGACAACTAAAACAATTGGGAGAACCTATCTCAGAATCAATGTTGATTACAAAAATTTTGATGACATTACCTGATAGCTATAGGCACTTCTACAGTGCATGGGACTCAATGAATAGTGCAAATAGAACGCTAGAACAGTTAACCACTCGATTGATGGTGGAAGAAACACGACAAGTGCAAGGACAGGAGGTCCGTGATGATGTTGCTGAAAGTAGTGCTTTGACTGCAACCAAAGGCAAGTATAATAAAAGTCAAAAATACGTGAACAAAAATGATAATACAAAACCAGGAAAATGCAATCACTGTAAAAAACCAGGACATTGGAAAAGGGACTGCAGGATATTCAAAAAGGAACAAGAAGAAAAGAAATCAACTTCCGGTTTGGCGCTTATTGGTGTACAAAGAAAAAATGAAGAAATCGACGACTCGGACAAATGGTATGTAGACTCAGGTGCGAGCGACCACATAACAAATCGAAAAGAGTGGTTCGTCGATTATAAACATTTTGATGTGCATTCGCTTGTACGTATTGGAGATGGTAAGCACATTATGGCAGTCGGAAAAGGTAACATAAATATTCATACTTATGTTGACAATAAGTGGATAAAAGGCTACTTAGAAAATGTTTTATATGTACCTGATCTAAAGGTAAATTTATTTTCTTGTGGGGCATGCCTTGATAAAGGAATTACAATGGTGACAGACAGTAAAGGTTGCTCATTTAAAATTAATAATCGTGTAATTGCAGTCGGTGTTCGTGAGAATAAATTGTTTACAATGCTAATCAAAACAGATATTTCACAGGAAATTGGACACTGTGCTAACGTTGCAGTTAAGAAATTAACATTAGAACACTGGCACAAAATACTATGTCATCAGAATGTCAAACATGTTCGTGAGTATTTAAAACACAATGAAATACAATTTACAGATATACAAGGACAGTTATTCTGTGAACCATGCATCTATGGCAAACAGCATAAGGAGACGTTCACTCAGAGCGAAACAATAACTACTGAACCAGGGCAAATAATACACAGCGACGTATGTGGACCCATGGAAGAGAATTCACTAGGAGGTAAAAGATATTTCATTATATTTAAAGATGATTATTCTAAATATACTTATGTCTATTTTATGAAACATAAATCTGAGGTTAAAGAAAAACTTAATTGTTTTCTGAGTATGGTTAAAACTCAAACAAAATACGTTATTAAAACTATTAGAAGTGACTGTGGATTAGAGTATAAGAATTTCGAAGTTCAATCAATTCTAAATCATCTAGGTATAAAGCATGAAACAAGTGTACCTTATACTCCTGAACAAAATGGAAAAGCTGAACGTTCAATGAGGACTATTTGTGAGGCAGCCAGAACAATGATATATGCCAAGAATTTTCCAAAATCACTGTGGGCAGAAGCAGTCAATACAGTAGTGTTCTCATTAAATTATACTGGTAATTCAGGGAAAGTATGTAAAACTCCATACGAGTTATGGTTTGATAAACTTCCTAAAATAGAAAAGTTCGTAGAATTTGGAATAAATGCATATAGTTTAGTTCCAAAACAACGACGAAAGAAGTGGGATGCAAAAAGTCGAAAAGGATACTTTGTTGGATATTCAGAAACTTCAAAAGGGTATCGTATTTGGTATAAAGAAAATAACGAGGTGTCACTTAGTAGAGACGTCATTTTCAAGGATGAAAATGTTGTAAATTACCAACTTGTAGAATGTTCTAATAACTTAAATGATAATAATAACATTGATGTTCTTAGCTTACACAAAGACGGCTCATTAGAACACAGCAATAAACCAGAAGGAGATGAAGTCATAGAAAATGAATATGGACCAATAAGTGTAGATGACAATGAAAATCAAGAACTTGAACAAGGAAATGGGTCAAATGTCAACGTGTACAACTTGCGAGACAGAAGTAATATTAAGAAACCATTACGTTATGATAATTCAGCATTTTTCGTAGTCGAATCCGATCCAGTGAATTTCAAGGAAGCTGTGGAGTCACAAAATTCAGAAAAATGGGTGGAAGCCATGAACAATGAAATGGAATCTCTTGAACAAAACGGAACATGGTCTCTCGTAAAGTTACCTAAGGACAGAACTATTGTAAATTGTGGTTGGGTGTATAAAACAAAATACAATGTTCATGGACATGTTGATCGATACAAGGCTAGGCTAGTAGCAAAAGGGTATAGTCAAATATTCGGTATTGATTTTAATGAAACTTTTAGTCCTGTAGTAAAGTTCGATTCAATTCGGTCTATATTAGCTATATCAGCAGCAGAACAATTACAACTTCGACAATTTGATGTTCAAACAGCGTTTTTATATGGAGATTTGGACGAAGAAATTTACATGAGACAACCAGAAGGGTTCAACGATGGTACTGAAATGGTGTGCAGACTTCAACGCAGTTTATATGGTCTAAAGCAGTCACCACGATGTTGGAACATAAAGTTCAAAACATTTCTTCTTAACTTTAATCTATTAGAAACAAAAGCAGATCCCTGTGTTTTTGTTAATAGAGAAAATAACAAAGTATTAATCGTCGCTATATTTGTTGATGATGGTCTAGTTGCAGCTACATCGAGTGAGGATGTAAATGCATTAATGGAATATTTGAGACAACATTTCAATATTACCGAAGGAGAATTGAATCAATTTTTGGGTACAGAAATTGTGCAAAAATCTGATGGATCAATTGTAATGCACCAAGGGTTGTATTGTAAAAGAATATTGGAGAAGTTCAATATGACTGAAGCAAATCCAGTTCAAATACCAGCAGACCCTCAACATTCATTAGATGACAAGCAACAAAACACCAATCTAACTAGTAAAGTCCCATATCGTGAAGCAGTCGGAAGCTTATTATATCTCAGTCAGATTACAAGACCGGACATAACTTTTTCAGTAAATCTAGTTAGTAGATACATCGAGGATCCAAAGGAACAACACTGGACAGCAGTGAAACGAATTTTAAAATATTTAAAGGGAACTATTAATTTTGGATTGATATTTAGTTCTAGACAAAAACTCATGTTAAAGGGATACAGTTATGCTGACTATGCAGGTGACTTGGATACAAGAAGGTCAACATCAGGGTCAGTATTTACATTAGGATCTGGAAGTATAGCATGGAGTTCACGTCGTCAACAGTGTGTTAGCCTTAGCACAACTGAATCAGAGTACATAGCTTTAAGTCAAGCAGTACAAGAATTAACTTGGTTAAAATTGTTTTTAGGTGAATTGCTGGACCAGCCAAAAATGGTGCCAACAATGTATGGAGACAATCAAAGTGCGATTAAACTCGTAAAAAATCCAGAGTTTCATAGAAGAACGAAGCACATAGATGTTCGCTACCACTATATAAGAGAAAAGTTCAATGAGGGATTGTTTTCATTGGAGTACATATCCAGCAAGGAGCAGATTGCGGACATTATGACAAAGCCAACTCCACGAACGCGGTTCAATGAGCTAAGGGAGATGTTAGGAGTTATAAGTATTGATGTATAAGGGTATATTGTTTAAGGGAAAGTGTTGGAATTATAAACAAAACACCCTATATAATGTAGTGTATAAGTAATATATTCACACTGTAGTTCAGCAGACGCTGACTGTACATTTTTATAATACTACAGCATAAATGTCTTGTGTAGTGTAGCCGGGTATACATATTACATAGTTAGTCGTTGATTTATATTACGCCTCGTAACACTATTGTACATCGTATCATTATACTTATTATTATATTATATATATATCCGATTTTATTATTATTT